ACATACATGTGCAGATAAAGATGTGTAAACATGAGTCAGAAAGTTGGTATCACATTTGATGAATACTTATGCATGCCTATATATTTCACTGCAACATACATACACGTACACACGAATAATCTACACATGCCGAAGCGCAGGCATCTACTTATAAATACACGCACTCACATCCATAAACATGTCTATCATGTCTATCTTTTTGTGCATACCATATCAGCGAGTTATCTGCCTTTTTAGGTGGGGGTTTTGACGTTGCATTGGAGGGCCCTGCACCGGCTCACGTTCATTGAGGGAAGAGGCATGTTGCAAGTATCTACCTGTTGACATTGCAGGTTCTATTGTCATCGTATCTAAAAATCTAGATGCTGGCAACCTTAACACCAAGATACTACCTCTGTATTGACGTTCTCACACCTGTGTACTGCATACCACCTTTTGTAGCCTTTCAAGTATTCCTATGCAGTCACGTTGCACACGCAAGACTAGGCACTGTCGACAGTGCTCGTATGGATGGATCAAAGCATCATGTTTCTTAGCAGTTGAATAATCCTCGGTGAAGGGCAAGATAGTGGTTCGGTCACGAGAAGTAGCTGTAATCCTTGCAGGTATACGCTAATGTTACAATACTATTGTCATGAGAACCGAACCACGAACTTGCAGATCTGTCGGAGGCACTGCTTATGTTATACTTTGATACACAATACGACCATGCTGTGAAGCTGATCTGCAGGCGGAGTAGCACTATTGCCGGAGTCCGCGCAGGAATTGCAACAGAATTCAGGATGAAACCAATGTAATGACAAGTTGGGGATGCCAATAGCTACAGAAAAATAGAGTAAAACAGTTGGGAGCAGCCACGGGATAGTCATGTGGGACGCAGTCATCTGCATAGAAAAAGGCCCATGGTGCCCTAACCACCTCAGGATAACCTTGCGGAGTGTTCGGCTGTTTATGGGAGCAAAGACATATGAGACCTTCACCTATGCACTGGTCTGTCCATCTGCCTCTTTGCCTTACGCTCTTCTGTGCTCCAGTCTGTCGTGTCTGCGTCTGCCTTGACTGTCCGTCGGTCGGTCTCTCGATCTGTGTCTTAGTGGTGTGCGCTCTGCGGTCTTTTTGGCGTGCGTGTACTGATTGTATAGAGCTTGGCGCTATCCAGATATACCGACTGTCGGTTGGAGGCTGCTGATAAAGACACAAGTGTGTGTCGACTCTGTGTGTGTGTGTGTCTCTCTGTGCGTGTGTGTGTGTGTGTGTTTGTGCTTCTGTGTCTGTGTTTGCGTGCGCATGGGTTTGAGTTCTTGAGCAAGTTTTGCAGCATGCGCGTGCTGTCTCTTGTTCGAGCCTTTTGCGAGACAACTGTTGACGGAGATTTCACTAGCATGCACGAAGCTGGTTTAGCGGAGGCAAGCCGGGGGGTGTGCATCCAGCAGAAGTGCCCCGCCAGATGTTCCATGCTGCATCTGTTTCTATTCTGTTTCTATGACATGTGATTCCGTGATGTAAAAGCGTCCTGCGGAGTCGCTTGTCCCAGTCGGCGGATGTGGCCCTCTCCGCCGAAGCGGCTGCATCCCAGCGGCAGCACCCTCGGTTGCGGGCGAGCCAAACCCGGGTCTGCGACGGCATCGGACTTTCGATGAGGTCATGCCAGCCGTGATTCCATGGGTTTCCTGGACAGAGCCTTATACATCCGTCCGCGAGAACTTGCTGCGTCCTAGAGAAGAGCTGCGACGTTGGATGACGTTGGCAAGCGCTCCTCCACCAAGGTGCAGAGTGCCTGCCGGAAGGCACGGAGCCTGTGCTGCTGACTGACTTTGTTGCTGCTCGGCCCTTCGCAACAACTGCTGCGTTAGGGTGGCGAGCAGAACCCAACCCACGACCTCGGTGCTGCGGCAGCGTGCTTACGCGCTTGCAAGCACTGGAGGCAGGGCAGTGTGGAAAAGCAAAGTCGGATGAGTCTCAGGTGGGACCAAAGACCAGCAACAGAGGCCTCCGCTTTTGATTGCAAATCAGTCCACACGATACCCTGGTCAACACCCACGATGTAAGAGGCGACGGACTGCCGATGGGCAGTGTGAAGTCTAAGCGAGACCAGGTGCTGCTCTTGTGGTATGCATATACATCTTCACATTGTGCATGGCGATAAGGCCTACACTTTCATCACGGAGGGGGACATCCCAGCACGACTCCCGTTTGTTGCGGAGTCTCCGAAAGTAGCACACGAACACCAGCCTTGTGATATTTTTTGAAGTTCAAGGAAGTTGTTGACTTCAATGGGTTATCCAACGAGGACGCGGCTGCCGAGACCTATCCATCACATGTCAGATGCCTGCCGGATGTGATAGCCCAACGTACTTGCCATGACTTCGCACGCTGCACGCAGGAACTGGAGAAGTTGTGCTCGCAGCTGCAGAGCGAAAGGTTGGACAGATCACATGAAATTCTAACAGTATTAACGATAGTAGTTATGAATCATTATGTCTAGATTATTATCTCCGAGTTCCACTCCGGTTGCCTGGCAGGGATGGCTTGGATTCACATTTGCTGGGCCTCGCACACTACGAGGATGTGGGGGGCCACGCTGGAGACTCGAGGCTTCAGGGCCTTCCGAAGGGTCGGCTGCCTGAGGTCCTGAAGCCGCAGGTGGAGAAGACGAAATCTGATGGCAAAGCCAAAGGCCTGCGAGGTTTCTGGGAGCTCAGAGAAATGCCTGGCTGTGGGGTGGAGACGCTGGATTCACAGCAAAGAGCCAAGAGTAAGTCGTGTGCAGGCCATTCGAAAAGGCAGCGGAAGTGACCGGGGAATGAAGAAAGCTGCTGGGGTAGGCTTCATCCGCTTGACCGCTGGAGGGCGGCTTGTACGAATCGGGCAATCCTGTACAGGCCCGCGGCGTAGGTGATGCCAATACGGCATCGCACGCCACCGCTGTGTCACCGACAAGAATGAAAACAAGCTTCGCCGAATTCGCCGGAGATAGATCCCTTCAACTCCTGGTTTCCGGAAAGGAAGCCGCGTGCGTGCTCCCGTACCTGCTCCTCATGTTTGGCAGCTACGGTGCGGGGAGATGAGCTCAGAAGGGAGAAGGCTCTCAGTGTGACAATCTTGGACCGGTCGCCGACCGAGGGCTTGCTTCTACTTTGCTCGCTGGCCCGAGTGTTTGGGCCTTGCCCGGGCCTGTGATTTGCGGGGCATCTTCGAAGAGTTCCAAGGTTGCTGGCCGGGGTACTTCGACATCGTCGGGCACAGCCATCAGGCCCCGGCCCTGCTCCTAGGACGATGCATGACATGGAGATCCAGAGGTGATAAGAGTTTCCATCTTTTCTCCATTTTTTCAAGAATTCAACAGGAGATTGTTAGTGTTCAGACAGGCTGTTTCCATACAACGTTTGCAGCAGCCTCGCCTATGTACAGTAGGAGCTGTGTCGGTTATATTCGGGTTAAGACGGGACTGCTTCTTGATCGATAAAGGTTCCTCACATACTCACCCTCATGTGTACATCATTATATACATGAATTCTCGGCATTGAGGCATCATGCACTCGCAATGACGTCTGGCATTCGTCGCCATGCCCGGGCACTTGCGCGTTGCCTGCGTGCAAATGAATCCGCTTCACAATCAAGTGGAAAGGAACTGCGAGCATGCGTTGAACATGTTGAAGAAGAAGGAGCATCAGTTGAAGGGTGTGCACTTGCTTGTGCTTCCGGAGATGATTATGACTGGTTACCATTGGCGAGATGCAGACCACATCCAGCCTGTCCTTGAGGCCGCCCAAGGCCAGACCCACAAATGGTGCAAGTCTGTGGCCAAAATGTTGAGCTGTGTGGTTTGCTGCGGAGTGCCTCGCCGAAAAGGACGGAAACGATTGAACTCCATGATCGTCACAAGCCCCCGTGGCAAAGTCGTTGAGGCAGTGGACAAGGTCCACCTCTACGAGTCGGACAAGACTTGGGCTGAGCCTGGGGATGGCTTCAAGAGTGTGGAAACCGTGGAGGGCTTGCCCGTGTCCCCGGTGGGCTTCGGAATCTGCATGGACATCAACCCAGCAGACTTCAAAGCACCTGCCGAGAAGTTTGAGTTCGCGAACTTCCACCTGCAGCACAACTCCAAGCTCTTAGTCTTCACGTCGGCCTGGTGCAAGAACCACCCGGATGACAAACCCGAGGCTTTCGCGGAGAAGTCCGATGCAGAGCTTTCGCAAGAGACCATCGATGCCTGGCTCACCCGCCTGAGACCCCTCCACGGCAAGCGCGTGATCTTCGTCTGCGCCAACCGGGTGGGTAAGGAGGAGCTGCGGCTTCTAGGCCGGGACACCGACCTCTGCAACCAGTTCTGCGGGACAAGTTGTGTAATTTCCCTCGAGGACCAGACTGTTGTGAAGCACCTCTCTGCCAGTGAAGAAGGTATACTAATAGCGGACATACCTGTTCCCTGCGGCTAACAAAAGAGACGCAAGCTTCCATTATGTTCCTTAACCGGCATGGTTGCGCTTCGTTTTTGCGAGCATGTGTGCCTGGATGCAGTTCTGGCATCTCTTCGTGCTGATGGCTGCAGTGCGCCTGCCTGGTTGCAGTAGTAGTCGCAGTGGGAGCAGATCCTCAGCAGTCCGCTCCGCGTTTCGTTTGACCAGTTGGTCGAGGTCTGTTGGCTGCAGGGATGCCGGGCGATGACCGAGATTGCCATGCTCTGTGAGGCTGTGGCTGCAGGGTGTGAGCACTCCGGTTACCGTGGTAAATGCATGAACTTGTAAATGCTGCATTGCCGCGGCAGGCGCTTGACGTGCCTGAAGAGGGCATGATACTTCCATGAGCTGCTCGAGTCAGCGATCAGGCAGCAGGACATGTGAGAAAACAAGCAACCACCCCTGCCGCGTATCAATGGGGGGAGATTTGAAGCATCGCTCTGTTCTTGCGGATTCTTGCGGTCAGCGCCCAATGACTCCGTGCTCGAAGCCTCCTTCTTTGGGGGGAAGTAGCCTTGGCTCCCAGAGTCGCTGCGGAGAATGAGCTTCGAGCTCACAGCCTTCCCCCTTCTGGGGATTGAGTAGGGCCCTCGGGTCAAAACCGTCACGAAGGGGGGGGGGGAGGGGAGGGGAAGGCTCTGCGACTCTGACACTCTGAGGCGGTTTCTTTATGGATACATCTATCAGTTTCCCGAGCCTGCTGCTGAGCCTGGGGGTGCGTGCGACATAGCTCCGTGTTTGTCTTCATTCTGAGGTCATTCAAGCGTTGTTGCAAGGGGCCGCTGAAGTCATTGCTGGACTACGACGAGGGTGTCTACTGGCAGGCTGCGTGCGGCTGTACAGTTGGCTTCTGCTATCAATGGCCTGGCAGTTGTCACAGTCTCCGAGCCTGGATCAGAGGTAGCAAAGCATCTGGGCGTGGGCATCAAAGTCTTCCAGTGCTGCTCTCGAACTTGCAAGGATGAGAGCCTTGCCAAGAGCTTTGCAAAACTGCCAGCTTGGCACTGCAAGGTTTGGTGTCTTGGGCTACGACCTTGTCCTGCGAAGGCCCGTAGAAGTCTTGTAGCTGTTACTATGATTAATATTATTACTATCATTAATATTATTACTACTATTAATATCATTACTATTATTGCTATTATCTATCTGTTAGGGGGGTCATCACTCTGCCTGTTACACCGCTGTTAGTTTTGGGCGCCTCACTGGTGCCAGCTGAGTGTATTTTGCAGCCATGCACCTGTCGTCCCTACCGGTTGCAGGTATGACTCATATGTTTCTGCGCCTGTGTGTCTTCTAGACATGTGGGCAGTTGTCAAAATTATGGTCCCTTTTGGGGTACCCTAAATAATAGGTGCCGTATTATAATAAGGACCCGAAAAGGGACCATAAGTTTGACAACCAGCCATGTGTGCTTGTAAAGCTGGGGGGTGGTGTATTTCGCCCCTCTCAGCCGACAGCTCTTTTTGGTCCTTCAGGAGCTTATCGCTTGCTGAACCAAACCTGCTTTGCAGCGAGCCCATCGAGGTTGATGTATTTGGGGTAGAGATAGCTTTGTGCTGTTTCCTGCTTTCGGTTTCCAGTCTGGCTCAAGCGAACACTTTCGGTTCTTCATCGCAGCTCTATGAGGAGCCCCCGACACATGGTTCACAAACTATCTTTGCAAGCTGTGGAAGCCCGTCGGAGCTTCAACCTTTTTGCCCTCTTCGAGGTCCCGACCATAAGGGAGACAAACTCAAGGCCGGCCATATGGGACCTAAGTTGTGATTATAATACTACCAGGAATTATGTTGGGGCTACCAGTACTGTTAATCTGTAACCTTTATAGGGGAGCCCTCAGCAAGTTGAGACAAATCCGGCAGAATGCGCCATGGCGGTGCCGGAGTTAGCCTACAAGGGGCGGCGGAAGAGGCACCAAACTCACAGCCAACTCTGGGTTTTCAATATGAGTACGTACTATTATTCAAATTATAGATATTATTACTGTTGTTACTATTATTAATCTTATCACTATTATTAATAGTATTACTGTTATGAATATTATTGCTATTATTACCATATATGTCGATGGTTTCTATCATTAGTTTAGACCCGCAAGCAATGAGGCGGGCGGAGGGGACCTGGCCTTCCACCCTCTGGTGAGGCACGGGGCTTTAGGGGTTCAGTGGTTTAGGGCCCTGAATTCACGGTTTAGGGTTTAGGGTTTAGGGTTTAGGGGGCCTAGGGTTCAGGGTGCAGATTCGTTGGTTACTGCTGGTGCCGGTGCGCGTTTTGCAGAGATGTCGAGCCTGCACTGTAGCTGCAGCCACCCTTCCTGTGTTCTCGTCGTGATGCAGAATGCAAGGCCAGAAGATGAACTTCTGGAAGCAGGCCGCAAAGCAGCGATGTAAGGACATGCGAGGTCAGCCAAGCCAGGCCTTCCATTCCATCTCAGGACGCTGGAAGAAGCCTGCAAAAGAAGATGAATCCAAAGGCCGCCCGAGACCATCTTGCTGCAAGCGGTGGGGGATTTTGTGCAGTTGCAGCATTGCGAAGCACCGGGTCGGATGAGAATACTGGCGAGGCCATCTCATCTATCTGACCGGAGCGAGGTCACTGCTGGCTCTTTGGATCCTGGGAGACCATTTCATTCACCGGGCCGCTTGATTTGCTGATCAGGTTACGAATTCAGGACTGATGCAACAGTGCTTAGTGCTTGGGGTCACGAATGTCATCCCGTGATCCGAGGCCAGTGTCTTCACAGACCGGTCAAACGTCGCCGTCGCTGCCTTCATTTCATTAAGCTCCTTTGCTGAACTCTGCACGGTCAGCCACCAGAAGGCAACACGAATCACTGGTGGCGATCAGCAGTGCGGTGGTCACCAAGAAGTTTCAACAGAGCCCAACAATTAGATGCCTGCTAATTTGGTGTTGGCCCATCCTATCATCTCAATTCCTGATCATGATGTTGTGCTTGCAAGCCTGTCAGGTGGCTTCGTGACCCAATGGGCCTACAGCACCCGAGACTTCTCGCGCTTGGGTACTGTCTTCCAGTACCTGGTTAGGTGGGATGTGAAAGGGCTCAACTCTTTTGATACTTTATGGATTACGTGCGTAATCTTGGATCTGAGAATCTGCGCTGCAGCGTCGCAGGCGTATTGGAAGAGTGGCCCTGACCACTTACTTCGCCATGCTCGCTGCTGTGGGCGTACTGGCAGTGCAGACTCACATCCCAAGCTGGAGGCCAAAGTCCGAACTTCGAAATGTCTCGAGTCTGTTCTGCACTCGAAAGGCTCAGGCTAAACTCTGACAAGATAGCTTCTGACTCTCTTTATAGGTATGAGGGTTCTGTGTTCGAAAAGGCAACGAAGAACTCGACTCGTTGACCCTGCTCGCTCTCAACCTCCTCCAGCTTGACTTGACCTCACCCACTTGCCCAGTGCTCGAGACGAGACAGCAGATCTGTCAGAGCAGTGTTGCAGTAGCGTCACTGATGCTGTCTCCAGTTTAGACTTCGCGGAACAAGATGTGGAGGCACATGGTCCGGTGTTTCCTCTTCGTGGAAACCTGGTTACAGCCAGAAAACTGGTGCCCCGATGGGCAAAGCTGGACCATCGCGGCACTCCTGCCCAGCTGGTCACTGGGCCCACCAAGGATATCAGGTCATACTTAAAGTTGTATTAAGTTATATCATATTATATTGTGTCGTATAACACGATATCAGATTATACTATATATATTATACCTTTGTAAAGGATTCGAGCACCCGGTGTTTTTCGGCTGACTTTCACAGGTTCCCAATCATTATCTGCTGGTTCTGGGGTGAAACAGGGAGATTTGCTGGGCGTCTCGTGGTGAACGCATTTTACGCTTATGCATTTTACGGGGTTCGGTGCATGCTGTAGTGTTTCATTCGTTGTTCTTCGTCGTTCGAAATTTAGCCATGTAGGGTGCCTCACATTGCAGCGTCTAGGGGATCGGAAGAGAACTTTTTGGCGATTATGGATGAACCCAACTGCTCTCAGATTCTTCCAAAGACGATGAGAGGTTTGAGCTCGAATCTTGTCAGGGGTTGCTCAGTTCAAGAGCTGCAGCATTTGTGATATGCTTCTCAGTCACCGGTTCGCCAAACATCGACGAAAGGCTGATCTACCCCTCGCTGAAGCATCTGGTTGGCCTCATGGAGAAGAATTACGGAGCCCTAGGCCTCCTGCAGCTTTTGCTTGCGCACTCCGGCAGCGCTATACATGAAATCTTTTGGAGCTGAGCAGGGGGAGAGCTCTTTCTGCCAACGTGCGCAGTTGCAGTCGAGGCTTTGGATGATCTCCGCCGGGCCAAGCTTGGTGGTCTTTCTGATGCAGGACGGCTTCTTGACCAACAAGCAGCACAACCTCGCATACCTCTGGCCTCCGAGCCAAATGCCGGATTTTGCAATCGGCGTGGCGGCTTGGCAGCCGAAGTTTGTCAGTGCCCTTTGCCACTGGCCTCAGAGGCTCCCATGTTGCAAGTCTTGCACTCGTAGGCTCGTAGGGGCCGTTTGTAGACCATTGGCACCAAGATTGCAGCAACGCTGGCCAAACGGCACGACGCAAGCTCTGCAAAGTCAGGTGGGTGAGGGATCCAGAGTCCTGCTCAGGTTGAGCCAACTGTGCAGCTACCGATAGTCCCATTGTTCTCGAAGCTGGCAGGGTTGCCGCCTGCCTGGCTGCGGGGTCTGCTCGCAGATCTGTCCCTGATCATCATTTTCGCTGTCGTGTGACCTGGTTGCAGTGGAGAGTGCCTGATGTAAGTATGTCAATAGCAACAGTTAGTAGTTAAAAGTAAGAATAGCTATAGTAGCTAGAGTAGATGTAGTTTAATAGCTTCAATAGTCAGAGTAGTTAAAATAGTTGTTGCAGTTATTAGCAGTTATCATAGTAGTTATAGTTGTAATCAGTTCTGATGATTATAATCGTTTTCATGGTTTTAATTGTTGATATGTAACCGTCGTAGCCCAAGTAGTAGGACGGTAGAACAGGCTGACAGCACCTGCTCGCTTACTCGCGCCCTGCCAGGTTGTTGGTGCCCAGCTCGGGTTACCACGAGGCCGCGACATGTCAGCCGTGAGGATGCAGCCGACACGCCAAGAAGACACGCCGAATCATCACTCCTTGCTGTAGCTGAGCTCACGCGTCTCAATGCCATGTTTAGCAGAAGAAGCAAGAACCGGTAAAAGCTCTAAGCAGGGCTGGGAGCCCCTCTACAACCACAGCCTGGGCCCGCTCTGGGCGCTGTTCTTCTACGGCTCGGCTGCCAGCCAGGGCTCAGGCCGCCAAGTCTTTAAAGGGGCCTTTGTTACATGGGAGTTTCCGAATATAAGCGATACCTTATTTGGGGGTCCTTATAATCAGGATCCTATTATTTAGGGTACTATATTAGGGTCCCCTATTTTCGGAAACTCCCCACATCGAGGCCGAGGCACTGAAACCCAAACCTGAAACCAGGCATTTCGGCCTGCACCCTCGGAGTGGCGCCCTTGGCCGTTCTCGGAAGGTACAGCTTCGAGGCCCGAGGACGACAGAGCTCATAGAAAGTAGAAGCTCCTCTAATCTCACCAGGTCTTCTTATTCCAGCAGCCGCTCTTCAACGCTTTCGAGCTGCTTGGCACAAAACAGGGCTCCCGTCCCTTCAAGAGCACAGCAGCACATGCCCAAGGATTCTTTGGATTGCCGGCATGAACGAGGCCGGGGGCTGCGGTGCATGGGGGCTGCTCTGGTCTTCTTTACTGGCAGACACTACGTGGTCCGTGGTCAGGTTCTGCCCATGTGGGGATTTGCCACCATTTTCCTGGTGACCGGACATGAAAGAGCGAAAGAGGGGCTTTCTGACACGTCTCTAACCAGACTAAGCCTCAGGTGACATTGTATACCCTCTCCGCGATCTATGCGGAGTGCATCGAGGCGTCTGCTGTGGTGCAAGGCTTGCTTCTCCAGTGCTTCTTGTCCTTGAGCCACAGGCCCCATTCGTAAGTTCCCTCCGCTCAGCGACATCAAGCTGGGGAGTGAGCTAGAGCCCAATGTCGCTTGGGATCTCGGAGAAAGCTGCGCTGGGGTGCTTAGGTAGGATGGATGGTTTTATCAAGAAGTGCAAGCAAGTGATGGACAGACAGCTGCAGAGTGAGCCGTACCGAGTCCGTCAAGAGTTCTCATGACTGCTGGTCGTGGCATTGGCTCAAATCTGTAGCCTGTTACAGCGAACGGCGCAGGCCCGAGACAGCATTTTCTTGTGAAGTCTGGAAAGATTCCGCTGCCATGACCTCTGCACAGGCATCGGAACCCTTCTACCAGTCATGGCCTCCCGAATTCTGGCAGTCGTGCTGGCGACAGCAGCAGTTGCAGTCGGGGGCACAGACCAACTCATGACGGGCCTTCTGTGAACATGAAATCCAGAGCTGAAGTCTTCATAGTCCGATATATACTCTCTGTCTCTGTCTGCGTCTCCCTCGCTCTCTCTGTGTCTCTCTCGCTCTTTCTCCCTCCCTCTCTCTCTCTCTCGCTTTCTCCCTCCCTCTCTCTCTCTCTCCCTCCCTCCCTCCCTCCCTCCCTCGCTCCCTCCCTCGCTCGCTCGCTCGCTCGCTCGCTCTCTCTCTCTCTCTACCCTCTCTCTCCCTCTCTCTCTCTCTCTGCCTGCACCCTCTCTCTCCCTCACTATATATATATATACACACACATATATACACGTGTGAGCTCTGTATAAATAAATAAATAAATAGATAAATAAATAAATAAATAAATAACTAATATATA